GTAAACGTCGAAGAGCAACCCAATGTTTACCACTTGGATTATGAGTATATCTACTAAGTCTGCTCACAACGTAGGTAATATTAGGTCGAGTATAGTTCATTAAGAATATTAGGATTCCAATTATTTTAGCATAGTCGGTTTGGGAAACACTACTTCATTTATTTTTAAAGAGATGCATGCTAGAGTCTTAAGGAGTTAGAACAGGGATGACATCAAAACTGACAAATTTCTTTAACAGTTTCTCAATGTAACATGTTTGATTTAAAGAAAATTCCTTTTAAGTTTTGGTAACTTTGACACTTAAGATCACATCGACTTCTCCCAAATCAGTCATCTTAAATTTAGTAGATAAGAAATTCTTTGTTTTGTTAATGAACTCAATGTTATTACTGAAAATCAACATGTCATCAACATATAAACTTATGATGATGCAATCAATACCAAACATCCTCGAATATACGCATGCATCCAAATCATTCACAACAAAACCAAAACTCAATCTAGTTTTGTCAAATTTTTCATACCACTGTTTAGGAGCTTGCTTCAGACCATAAAGTAACTTTTTCAGTCACACATATTGACTTCCATGCCAAGAGTCTTGAAGCCAAGAGGTTGCTCCATATAGATCTTCTCATCTAGATCTCCATTCAGAAATGTAGTCTTTATATCCATTTGATGTACTTGCAACTTGTGAATGGAGGCTAGTGCAAATAATGCACGGATCATTGAGATTTTCGTTACGGGAGAATAGGTATCGAAGAAATTTAAGCCAAACTTTTGAGTGAACCCTTTGACAACTAGCCTTGCCTTGTACTGCTGGATCGAACCATATGGTCTGAGTTTCTTCTCGAATACCCATTTGTTGTTGATTGGTTTAAATCCTCTAGGCAAGTCAACAAATTTCAATGTATGATTAGACATTATTGATTATAGTTCATTATTAATAGTGCTTTTCCAGAAACTATAATCAATAAATCTTATAGCTTCCTCATAAGTCTTAGAATCTTCATCTAACAGAAAAATTTGAGCTATAGGATCATATATTGAGTCTAAATCATTATCTCATAAATAAAGGAAGTGATAAAGTTAATCCAAAAGATGTTTCAGTTCTTTGTCTTTTATTTCTTATAGGTTCAAATTAAATCTCTTGAGAACCCCTAGCAGGTACACTAGAAGAAGTATATGGTGATTTTTCTATTTGCGTTTCCTCATTTAATCTAGGTTTCTTTAGTGGAAAAGTATCTTCAAAGACCACAACATCCCTAGATTCACAAATATAGTAGTCTTGTAAACACATGAACTTGTATGTGGCACTTTTTGTATCATACACTATATCAATGGTTTTAGGACTGATGATGGACTTCTTAATGTCCGTCAAGCCCACTTTAGCCAGACACCCCCACAATTTCGTGTATTATAGATTTGGAGCGTAGCCTTTCCACAATTCGTATGGAGTAGAATCTAATTTCTTATGAGGTACCCGATTCAAAATGTGATTTTTCGATAAAATGACATCCCTCACATGTTGTCACCTAACCCAGAACTTATCAACAATGACTTCATTATCTCTTTTAAAGTTTTGTTTTTCCTCTCGGCTTTATTGTTTTGTTGAGGGAAATAGAAAGTAGAAGTTTTGTGAATTATGACATTCTTCTCACACACCTTTTTTAAGAAATTTGATCCATATTCACCACTTCTATCGGATCTAACCCATTTTATTCTCATATCTAACTTATTCTCAACTTCTGCCTTATAAATAAGAAAGAAGTTTTTAATCTCATCTTTAGTTCTTAGGAGATATACTTTTGTGTATCTCCAATAATCATCTACAAAAGTAATATAATAGTGTTTTTCTTCCTTACTTTCAGAGTTTCTAAAGTATGCTAGATCAGTATGTATAAGTTCTAACAATTGAGTATTTCTTTTAGAAATTGTTTTAAAGTGAGGTTTAGCATGCTTGGCTTCTACACAAATCTCACATTTGTTAAAGCCAATTATGTCTAGTTTAGGCAGAATATTCATTTTTATCGGTTTTCTTTAAAGAGTGAATATTTTCATGTCCTAATCTAGCATGCCACATATCAATAGTCTCAACAGTATAAGCAGAAGTAGTAGCTTTATTCTCATTAAGTTGAGTTTTTATGACAAATAAATCATCATTCAGAAAACCTTTTCCAACATAAGCATCATTTCGGAAAAATATAAGTTTATCTGCCTCAAAAACTAACTTGATGCTTGCCTTATTCAAGAGCCTGTCACTTATTAAATTTCTACGTAAGGCAGGTACATATAAAAAAAATTTAGGGTTAAAAATTTACCAGAAGCCAGCTTGAATAAATCCTTGCCTTTGCCTAGCATTTCAGTGCTTGTTTAACCATGCTTTGAGATTTTGATATACCAAAAGTAAATAAGTTTAAAGAAATTTTAAGGTTATTTTTAATTCGATTTTTAAGCTTATATTCGATTCAACTATTCGAATATAGAAACTATTTTCAAAGTTAGAAAGTTTAGAATTATTTATTACTCTTTTGAAAAATTCAAGTCATATACTGGAAATAATTTTCAAACATTTTACAAAGGGTTTTGAATTTTAATTGAGTCAAAAATCAAATTTTAACACTAGAGTATCGATACTGCAAGAATATCACTGATATTGTTCAAGTGGTACCGATACTTGTATCAATACCAATGTAAAAATATATTGCAGTACTGATACTAGTGTATAAAAATACACTGAAGTACCGATACTAGTACTGTTACTCCTATCAAGTTTTTGATAAACACGATTTCAGTAGGTGATTTTCGTATCGATACTCTATGAGTATAAATACGGGTATCGATACTCTATATGGAGTATTGATATTCCCCTCTTCTCAACGGCTATATTTTTGTAATGATTGCACGCAATACTGATACTCTAAACCCGAGTATCGGTACTCAAGGCGTCTGGACAGCATTTATTGAGGGAAAATTCTTCTCAAGTACCGATACTTTCGTTGTCATTTTTTCGTTTATCAAAATTTTCTCGTTTATCAAAATTTTCAGAATTACATATCTTTCAACTAATTACAATCCTCTAACATTATCACCGACAAACTCACATATAATGTAAAACTCAAGTCCACTACTTCATAACCATATTTATTTACTTTGTGAGAATATAGATAATTATTACAACCTAGGTCATATCACCGCAAAAAATCAATAGAAAATCATCATGAGTTCACTTATTTCATATTTCTTTTACAAAATCACTGATTATAATTTTCTCATTTAAATTAAAATAATAAATCGTTCAATCATCTCGACAATATTTCTCTCATCCATAATAAAAGTGATGAAAAAAATCAATGATTAAAGTGAATAATTGTAAATAAAACCACTGATCAAATATGTAAGAATCAATATATAAATTATTATATAAGGATGAAGAGAAAGGCACTCTCTCGATCTCTATTACTATTAATTATTTTTATAAGTTCACTTATTTCATATATCTTTTAAAGGATCACCTATTATAATTTTTCGTTCAAATTAAAAAAAGATGAATCGTCTAATTGTCTGGGCAATATTTATTTCACGCATAATAAAAGTGATGTATAAATCAACGATTATATAAACCAACATATAAATCATTATGTAAGGATGAAAAGAAAGACACCTTCCTAACTCTAATGCTATTAATTATTTTCACGAGTTCACTTGTTTCATATATCTTTTACAGAATCATCGATTATAATTTTCTTGTTCAAATTAAATAAATGAATCGCTCAATCGTCTCAAAATATTTCTCTTATCCATAATAAAAGTGATGAAAAAATTCAATGACTAAAGTGAATAAGAGTAAATAAATTCAATGATCAAACATGTAAGGATGAATAGAGGACACTCTCCCGATCTCTAATACTATTAATTAATTTTCATGAGTTTATTTATTTCATATCTCTTTTATAAAATTATCATTATAACTTTTCATCTAAATTAAAAGTATTAGTCATCCAATCATCTTGACACTATTTCTTCCATCTATAATAAAAAGTGATGGAAAAAAATCAAAGACTAAAGTGGATTAGAGTAAATAAATTTTGTGATCAATTATGTATTTAATCCTTTTACTTTTTATAAATTAAGAACAAAATCCAGGGTTAATTACATGGTTTATCATTTATCTTCATGTTTTGTCCACTTTTACTCACTCATTTCAAAAAAATAATATATGGTCATTTTTCATTTATATTTAATTAAGATATGTTCACTTTCGTTTTTATTTAATTAAGATGTTGTCACTACGAGTTAACTGTCGTTAACAGTTAACATATTAGGTGACATGATATTTTGATATAATCATACATTTTGTCCCTATTATTTATATATTATCTCAATTTAGTCATACTTTTAATAAATTAAGAAAAATTTAATCCTTCAATCGAATGATACCACGTGTCACTAGTGACATGCATCACCAATCGGTTGGAGGAATAAATTTATTTTAATTTAATATATTTATTTTCCACCAATACTTTGAACAGTTAGTCCTCCAACCGAATGGTGACACGTGACATGACACGTGGTACCAATGACACTTAGCACATTCGATTAGAGGATTAAATTTATTTTAATTTATTAAAAGTAAGACTAAATTGAGAGAATATATAAATAATAAGAATCAAATTTGTGATTATATCAAAATATTTAATGACAATTAACTGATGGTGATCACCTATTAATTAAATAAAAACAAATGTAACTATATATTATGTTTTTTAAAATCAGTGTGGGAAAATGGACAAAACAAAAACATAAGTGACCAATCATGTAATTAACCCCAAAGTTTAATTAAGGATGTCCGAATGAGGTTTATAGGTGGTGGTGGGTCCAAAGAAAAAAGGCAACGATACACGTGGAAATATAATCAGTGTGTCAGCCACGTATGCAAAAATAACATAGGACTATCCACACCAAATCGATTCTCATTTCTGTCCTGCACATTCCGATTGAATGTTTGGTGCCGTTCTGGGGGTTTGGAGTGTAGCTCTATGATCATCATCAAACCGTAGACTGCTAATTTCTTCCCTTGTACTAAATCCCCAATACTGGAAATTTCACTTCAAAACCCTAAAAACTTCAGTTCCAACTCTTTTTTCTATTCACGTTCGAGTTTCCAAAACATTTTCCTGGGTTTTCAGGTAATATGAAGTATCTCTCCTTCTCTAACATTTCTCGTTTCAACTTACTTGCCGTTTGCTTTTATAGTGTCTCGAATCTATACCAGCTGTTTGGTTCCCGAAATTCTTTCCTGTTTTTTGAAAAAGGAAGTACTAGCTAAGTAGTTAGTTCCAGCCAAAGTACTGGACCACTGGTAACACTTTTGAAATTTGGTGACGTGATTCAGTGCAAATTTCTTACTCTATTTGGGGAACTTTTTATTTGCTTGACATTGTTTTTATATTTGGGGAACTTTTTTATTGCTTGACATTGTTTTTTCTTCGTTTCTCTTGGCTTGAAAGGAATATTATTGTTTTTGCTTTGACTTGTGGTACTTTTTGAACTTAGGATTAGTTTTGATGGTTTGTGTTTTTTTTTTCTGTTCTTAGTTTGTGCACACAAGAGAATGTTGTTGGGTCATGCTAGTGGTCTATCTGAACTTCGTTCGTCAAAGGACCAGCTACTTGCTGATCCTGAAGCGCTGGAAGATGACTTTAAATTAGACAGCTCTCAACCGATTTTGTATGTGGCTTCCTTTGAAGAACTCGCAAGAAATTATCTTCAATATGACACCATTATATGGGTTTCTATATCGTTATTGCTGGTTTTGGCTTGGGGTGTTGGCATCATCATGTTGCTCTACTTGCCCTTTAGAAGATACGTGCTTCAAAAGGACATTTCATCACGCAAGCTGTATGTCACACCTAGTGAAGTAGTTTATGAGGTATGGATATAAAGTTAAGGCACAAAGATATAGGGTCTGAACTTACATAAACTTCTTGGTAGTTGTCAATGAGAAATAAGTTTACTTTGAGTTTAATCCTTTCTATGCTATTATTTTGAAGGTTTCGAGGCCTTCTTTCATACCCTTTTGGGGCAAAATAACAATAGAGAAGCATGTACCTCTTTCCCAGGTCATTGATATTATAATTGAACAAGGTACTTGTTCTGCACTTGATAGATATTTGGTTTCTTGTCTAATTACTTCCCTAGTTTCCTTTCTCTCTGTGGTGGATAATTTTGCAAGTGAAAGTTTCTTATTGATTTCTCATCAAGGTAAAAGAACGATACTATGTATTATGATCCCCTTTCCATTTATTGTTGCCTAAGAGCTGCAACTGATTTGATTGACAAAACTTGACTGTCATTTTGTCCATGAATCATTGAATATTTAATCCTTTGGCCATTCTTAATGATGTGGAATTCGACAGTCTTGTGAATAAAATAAGTTTATTCTATTCTGATTCTTAACTTGTTTTGTCTTTATTTGAGCACATGGCCAATATAAACTTTTCAGTACAGTGGTTCCTTCAGAAGACTAATTAATATGTTTGGTTTTGGCAGGCTGGTTGCAATCAGTGTACGGTATCCATACTTTCAGAGTTGAAAGCATAGCCCATGGAAAAGCGGCACCTGTTGATGAACTACAGGTTCAAGGGGTTGCTAACCCTGCACTTCTTAGAAAGGCAATGGAACTGATTTCTTATGTTATATTTTTTTTCTTTCTTTTCTTCTTTTCTTAAAAATACCCCTGGCATACAATCTTTGGAAAATGATGAGATTCATTCTCATAAACAATTACAATGAACTTTGTTTAAAATGTTTTGCTGAATTGCTGTTGTGCATGCAAGGCATCCTTATGGAGATTGAAAATCAGAAGTTCATATATCTTGCAGGTCATTGTAAGAGAAGCTGCAAAAGCTATACAGGAGGTTGGTAAAAGTTGGAAACTTTCTACTGTCACAGGTGAAGTGGAAACTGTATCTCGAATGACATCATCATTCACAGAAGGGCAGCCTATTCTAAGATCACCGGCCAAAAGTTGGAAGGTAGTTTGATCAATTGAAGCCTCTAAAATTTATAACTAATCACACCATTTCTCTGGTAAGCGTGAGAAAATACCTGTTCTTGGATAGGTCTATAATATGTCTTCCTATTCAAGTCAATTGGATTTAGGATGCAATAAATTCCAATTTAGTTATAGAACTTGGAAAAAAGATTGACCCTGTAAATCCACAGCTTTGCCATCAAGCTTGTAAGGTCATATGGTAATAGATTGTTTTTAGATTCTCTTCTGATAGGAGAAAGTAGGCTTAAGTGGTTTCTGATGGGAATATCACAATTTTTTTTTAATATTCAAGCATGAGTATTGAGTACAAAAGATAACTATGTCGTGTATCAAGCACTGCTGTAGGAAAACATTGGATTAAACAAGATTCCCCAAGAACAAATACAAGGATGCTAGTAAATATGTTTTACGGCATGAAAAATGAATCGCTTCCTTTCTGCATGCCATCTGTGCTAGTATTTCATAGTTTTATTTCCCAGCCGGATACATGCTTTACTAATTGCTGTTACATATGTTTTTCAGACATCAGCTTCACCACGTCATTCTTCCGTGGAGCGAAGATCAATGATGCCTGGAGAGTTGTTTATGCAAAAACTTGATGAAGTCACTAAATCAGTAAAGGTTTGCACCATCTCATTTCTCTTTATTGTACCGAGAAAAGGGTTGTCGGCATAGTCGGTTCTGAGAATAATTAGTTGACCCAGAAATGAATGTCAGAACTCCCAAGATATATATATTTCTTATTAATGTGTTTTTCTTCAACCCTTGAACTAATGCTTCATACCATATGCCTGGCCAGAAAATCGAGTTTCTCGTTGAGAAGTCCCAAGCTTCTTCCAAGGGTAGCTGAGAAAGGTGTAGAAAGTTTCAATACCGAGAAATGCAGAGTTAACTTCATATCATCAAACTTCAAGAGACTTTTATGTGCTTTAATAAGCAAAAGCTTTTGTGTTTCTTCTTGGTGTTCTATAAGTAGGGTTTACTTTTGTACAAGTTCATCAATTCATTGTCCCTCTTTTTTGCTGTTTTTTTCACTTGGCATGTAACATTATAAACATAGGCCTTAATCTCGGACTTGTAAATTTTCGTGAAGTAAAATTTGTACCATTGTCCAAGCTTTATGAAATTAAGTCACATAATTATATTTCATTGTCTCTTTCAGAATATTATCAGATTACTAAACGTCTGAATAATGCAAAGAAAAATATGAAAGTGAAATAAATAAATAATCCTTTTGTATGCATAGCCGTAAGGATTTTCTTTCGAAAATCATTTTATTTGAGGATAAAGTATACCTGAGATTATTGAATGACCATTTTCATTGTTAAACTTTTAAAATTAAAAAATAATTAGTAAAAAATATTAAATTTTATCAAACAATATAAAATAATCTTTAAACTGTAACAAATTATTATAAAATAGTTATTAAACTTATAAAAATTTTACACTTATTATGATATCAAAATAATATTTTATAATTTTTTAAAATTTTAATAATTAAAATAGCATTTGAATATAGTTAAAGTGACTTTTACGTAAATTACCCTTTATTTTATTACCAGTAGGCAGTCTTAGCCGAGACAGAGACTCATTACAACATTGAACTCACGTGCAATCCAATAGCTATCCCACAAAGCGACAGTGAATAGTGATGAGTGATTAAGAATTTAAGAAGCTTCCTTCGCTAAATCTCCAGAATCCAACCAACGGTACCAGCCTTGACGAAACTTCCTACCCGAAAGGAAGAAGAAGAAGAAGAGAGGAAAAAAAAAAACCCAAACCCGAAATTGGGGTCATCTAGGAAGAGAGAAATGGGCACTAAGAAAGTGTTGGTAGTGGGCGGTACAGGCTACTTGGGGCAACATCTCTTGCAAGGATTTTCAGAGATACAAGGAATCACCCCATATGAATTGGCATTCACCTACAACTCCTTTCCTCCTCGACCTCTGCTAGATTCCTTCCCCGGCTCTCTCGCTTTCCACGTTGATTTGAAGGCAGGAGCTGGTTTCCATTTCATTTCTCACCAATTTGGCAAGGTTTTGTTCCCTTCCTTTCGATCTCTTTCACAGCCACTAATTCTTTTTTAAAGCTTGTGGTTTTTTGTTTAATGGCAGCGTGATGTGGTTGTGAACTGCACTGCTCTATCGGTTCCACGCGCTTGCGAGAAAGACCCTGATGCCGCTACATCTATCAATGTGCCTACTTCTCTTGTAAACTGATTATCAAGCTTTACCCAAAATGACGTTACTCTTCTTATTCATCTCTCAACGGATCAAGGTCGGTGAATTGTTGTTGTTTTTTTAATGAATTCTATTTATTTGATATAATGTCTGAGTTGGAAGTGCTTTTTTTTCTTTTTGGATGTTGGATTTATTCATTGGTGTATGAAGGAGTGAAATCGTTTTACAAGGAAGAAGATGAAGCTCTTCCTGTTAATGTTTATGGAAAATCAAAAGTTGCAGCTGAGCGGTTCATCTCTGAGAAATGGACAAATTTTGCTATTCTAAGTAGTATTATATTTGGGCCACGAACTGTATCACCTGTTCCTAAATCTCTTCCTATTCAGGTCTGAAAACGCTTATCCTTTCCCCTTTTTTTTTGGCTAAAAACATAACTAGTTGTTGTTTTGTATATGATGATAACTGAAAATGCATGTAGAAAAAATATCAGGGGATTTGAATCTTCCAATTTTCAGCTAAATAAATTTAGGGATTAAGTAGACATTGCTTGGAAGGAAAAACATCCATGCTGATTTACATAACTCTTGAGTCATAACCCTTGTGAGTAGTTAAGTACACAATGACACTAGCAATACACTATGCATGTTTCCATTCATGATTATTTTGTTAAACTGTGATTTATAACCGAGCATGTTGCAGTGGATTGACAGTGTCCTTTCCAAAGGAGATAAAGTGGAGTTCTTTTATGATGAGTATCGCTCCCCGGTGTATGTCAAGGATGTTGTGGCGGTCATCCGGACTTTGATTGAGAAATGGTTATCAGGTATGAAGCTATTATCCGTACTTCTACTGATAAAATATCGTGAGCTTCTCTTTTAGTCCTTCCGCGTCTCCTAGTTTTATAGTTTTAATTGTGAAGGAAGATTTTAGCTTGATAGCATTAATCATTCTTAACTTGCTTATTTACCATTGGTTTGTTTCCTTTTGGTGCATCTATTGTCCATTTCCTCATTTTCACGGAGGTTGCTCCCTTTTGCAAGTCCTTGTTCTTCTTTTACTTCTGCAAAGACAATTTCATCGGGATTTCTTTTTTCGTATACACACACACATATATATGACATAGCGATTATGATCTTATGTTACTTATCCCAGAGGGTAAGAAAATGCAGTTGCTACTAAATGTTGGTGGACCGGACAGGGTTTCCCATGTTCAAATGGCTGAGGCTGTGGCACAGATTAGAGGACATGATTTGTCATTAATTAAACCAATATATGCATCATCTGTAAGTATACCTTACAAAAGCCATAGAAAAGAAGGGAAAAAAAATCTTATTCCACCGAACTTTGTCGTATGCTGTAGTTTATTCTTTAATTTATGGTCTAGTGATTCATCCTTCCTATAAGGCTCTCTGATTCTAGATAGGTTTTCTGTACATGCAATAAGCATAAACTGCATGATCCCGAAATTCTTACCATGCTCTCTCTTTTCTCTTAGCTTATTCCCTTTGAACTTGGATCGTTTGCGGCAACTTTTTGGTTTATCAGGTTGACCGTGGTGTCATGTCCCCTGCTGATATATCTATGGATATCACCAAGCTGGTTCAGTCACTGAATATTTCACCTACTCCATTTAAAGATGGTGTTAAACTGACACTTGCCTCTGAAGCGAACTTGTGATTCTAGTAACACCGATAGTTGCCCTTTTTTTGAACTACTTTAGCATCTAAAAGGAGTATAAATTTGTGTTTTGCTGGTATTTGTTGTTGATTATTAAAGAACATCTGTATAGCCTTATTGAACTAGTTTTAAATATGAAACTCTGGATATTGAAGTATAAAACTTGTACCCAGAATTCATTCATTTCTCTGTTCTAAGGCCTAAGAGCTATTCATTTGTTCAGATACCTTCAGAGCTGTAATAAAAACTTGAGCGAATAATGATCCCGTTGGAGCTCGATGTGAAATCGGACAGTTGAGGGTGAAAATTCATTTCTTCATTTGCATTCTGCTCGAAAATTCATTTGATCAGCTATCTTAACGTAGGCTGCAAGCTTCTCGTCATATGAAACCCAAAGGTTTGGTGAAACAGATTGCAATGTCTTTAATGTTGATGTCTTGTTCCATTACCGAGGGTGATGTCGAATAGTTACCCAACAATTGAAAGGTCGTATAAAGAGGCAAGTTGAAAACCCTTTCTCATTTATCGAGTGTCGATTGTCAACTTTCTTTGAAGGATAAATAGTTTGCCACAGGAGCCGACCAGCTGCACCTTGGCAACTAGATAAGGTGCTGCCAGTCATGCATCAAATCGTTTGAAGCTAAGTTCTGGCTCTATTTCAAACTCAAACTCACCTAAACCTTCAAACAAGTTAAATGCACATGCTTTTGAACCGCATACAATAGCGCCGCAGAGATGGCTCCTGTCGTCTTGAATATAAGCATAAATAGTACACTTTTTGATCACTGGGACGACAGAATAAAACACGAGACACTCCTTTGAAGAAGAAACAAATCCAACATCATGAATCCAATCGAGATAAGAATTGTTCAGATGAGGAAGATCAGTTTTTTCATGAGAATTTGAGTTCCACAAGAAGCAACACGTATCAAGTTTTGGTGACCAACGTAGCTGCAGCATTCAAATTTTCAAGATCAAGCGAATCGACGTACTTAGCCGATAAATTATCAAGATTAAATGTCAATTGATATATTAAACCGTTTTATTTGTAATATTTTTATTGGATTTCTCATATTTTCTATATCATAATTGTTTAGGCCTATTTTCACTAGTGAGATTTTTTTTTTGTTCGTTAATAAGTGTGAATAAAAATAAATGGGTTATATCGAGCGTTGATCTCTTTTGATTTAGAATGAGAGTGGTAGTCAGTGATAATACTATTGTTGATCATATTCAAGTTCTCTGTCTTTATAAGAAAGTAAAAGATGATGAGCGAAGAAAAGTTATAGTCATTCTTTTAGTCTTGATCAATAAGTTTTATAGTGATTCATAGTACTGATATCAAACTTAAGATTATAATGATTATTCGTAGATTGACATGATTTTTGTGATCAACTATTAATTGTTTTTGAGTCTGACATATCACGTAGATCTATTAGAGATCATGTCAAATAATCATAACTTATCAGTAAGACTTCAAAATTTCTATGTTCAAAAATATTCTTTCGGGGCCCCTATTATATATAAGTTCTTCAAAGATCTTGATATAATAAGAAGGTACAACAATAAAAGAAATAACGTTGTTAGAAAACAACTTATTAAATATTATAAATAAAAATTATGAGAATTTAAATAGTAAAAACGATATCTCAAAATTTAGGAAAAATAAAATAAATTAAAGTTAGAATTGCGGTCCATATTCCAAATAAGCGTTCGCGGTCCAACCAAATCGCATTCTCTCCCAAACACTGAGAATTTTCCAACAATTATAACTGTTTTCCGCTTCCACATATACTCTCCGCGCTCACACACACGACCTTAAGCCAAACAAAAATAAAATCATCAATAAATAGAGAGAACAACAAGATTATAGAAGTGAATAATTCTTCATCAAAATTTAGTATATAAATATTGAACTGAACTCACGTTCAGAACAAAACCACCACTCTACGTTTGCAATATTTTTATCAGTGAGTTTTTTTTTTTGGTGAATTCGGATATTGAAATATGGAGCGCGGAATGTGGAATCTGGCGAGATTTGTGGCGTCGAGACTGAGCCGATCGAGACGTTGCTTCTCATCGATGATTCCTTGTCCTTGTATTATTCACAAGCGTGGAGCTGATATTCTTCATGATCCTTGGATCAACAAGGTTATTTTAGCAATCTCTTTTTCTAAATATGATCTCTGATGAATTTGTTATATTTGCACTTAGAAGTAATTTCTTTTTTATTATTTTCCATTGTCTTATTGTTTTCTTATTGCTCTCTCTTTTTCTTGTTAAACTTCAGGACACTGGCTTTCCTTTGACTGAAAAGAATAGACTGGGGCTTCGTGGTCTCCTTCCGCCACGCGTGATATCATTTGAGCAGCAATATGCTCGTTTTAGTAAGTTTGATCCCTACTTATATTTTCAGGGCAGTCTTAGATTTATATTAAGAAGCTTTCAATTTGAAGGTAGAAATCAATATATAAGTATCTATGATTTGAGTAAATGAAAGGCTAGTATCTGATCTGATTTAGATAGTAAATATTTATTTGGATTTGAAAATTGAAAATCATTTTTCTCTATTATATATTGTCTTTTAGGAGATATTTTGGCCTGGTTGATCTTATCTTAATTTTTAACAATAGCCTTAATTTTGACACTTTTTTCAATCGCTAGTTGAATCATATCGCACCTTGGAGAAAAATACACAGAACGAATCGGATACTAGCGTTGTTGCATTAGCGAAATGGAGGATTTTGAACAGATTGCATGACAGGAATGAAACACTGTACTTCCGAGTAAGTTTCTTTGCTTGTCCCGGTTTCTAATATGTATACAGAACTTTTAAGTTCTGAACATCACTTGAATATTGCCTCAGGTTCTTATTGACAACATCAAAGATTTTGCTCCGATAATTTACACCCCAACTGTAGGACTAGTATGCCAAAATTATTCTGGATTATTCAGACGCCCACGAGGAATGTATTTCAGTGCAAAGGATAAAGGAGAGATGATGTCTATGATATATAATTGGCCTGCTCAAAGGGTAAGCTTCTGCAGGTTACAAATTTTTGCTTATTGCACGAAGATCTAATATTAAATTCAATTTCCTTCTGTTTTACAGGTTGATATGATAGTCTTGACTGATGGCAGTAGAATTCTTGGTCTTGGTGACCTTGGAGTTCATGGGATTGGAATACCAATCGGAAAACTTGATATGTATGTTGCAGCTGCCGGTCTCAACCCACAGAGAGTATGGGTTATGCTTTCTTCTTCTTTGTGCGTGTTTGCATGTATGTTCATATCTGTCATCTATATAATTTGAGTTATACATTCTTATCGGTACTTAACACCGATTAATTTGGCCTGTATCAACCATTTGCGATCATTTTCATACTTGTGTTTGGATGTGGGCTGTATTTGATATGTTTAACCAACAGTTGAAGCTCTCTGTTAGACTGTTATATTCATGCTTATTTGCAACCATTTGGTTTATATCTAGCTGAAAATATTTGTTCCCTGTTATTATTGTATTTTACGTTTTCAACTTTTTGTTGCTATGTCAACTCTCTTTTCTTGTGTTATAACTTTAATAACTCAATCAATATGTCTTTGACAGATACTCCCGGTTATGCTAGATGTTGGTACTAACAATCTAAAGCTAATTGACGACCCACTTTGTGAGTAAAATATGTATTTAATTACTTTGTTCTTATGTAGTTATTCCCTCATAGACTGGAACATATGAAATGTTTTCTGTTACTTTGTTTTTTGACAGATTGTTAAGATTTCTTTCGACTTTTTTTTTGGGTTTGGACAGATTTAGGACTAAGACAACCTAGGTTAGAAGGGGAAGAATATCTATCAATTATTGATGAGTTCATTGAAGCAGTTTTAACACGTTGGCCTAAGGCTATTATACAGGTTTCTTTCTTTCAGAAGTGAGGTTTGTTTTATGCTTGTAGCTTGATGTTTATTTAATGGTTTCCCCATTCAGTTTGAGGATTTTCAAATGAAGTGGGCCTTTGAAACTCTGAAACGCTATAGGAGAAGGTTTTGCATGTTTAATGATGACGTACAGGTGAGCACTTGGCTCAGCATGTTACTTTTATGGACTGGATTAGTTTCTTGTGTAATGCAGATACTGCAGCATCACTATGAATGCCACCAGTATTAGGAAGTTGTTCTTATCTAATGTCTTTTAGGGAACTGCTGGAGTTGCACTTGCTGGATTGTTAGGAACTGTAAGAGCACAAGGTCGGCCTTTGGATCACTTTCCAAACCAAAAGATTGTTGTGGTGGGAGCTGGAAGGTAATGGCCAACTTATAGATAATTCTCGGGATTTCATTCTCTCACCACAAGTATTCCACTGTTCCTTTGTGCCCATTCCATCTCTGCTTTATTTCTCACACACACACTTTTCTGTCTGGCATCCAGTGCAGGGCTTGGTGTTCTTACCATGGCCGTGCAAGCTGTTGCAAAGATGACAGGAAAAGCAGAAACAGCTTCCCAGAACTTTTTCCTACTTGATAAAGATGTACAGTTTTTTGTACTCTAGTACTTTTCATCCTATTTGAGCAAAGCCTTTTATGTTCTTCTAGATATGTATCGTCCTTTCTCGTGTAAAAAAGATGGAGAGTTCATGAACTAAACAAGTCAAAAAGTTCTACTAGAAAAATTATATATAGGTTTCTTTATATTTTATCTACTTCATTCATAGTTCTCTTCCCCCTTTTAATTTATTACTGCTAGTACAAAGTGCTTATGGCTTGACACTAGGAATATAAATGTTTTTGCTACTTTGTCACTTGACCCTCTGGTATTATTAATTCCGTACTCCATGTGGTGGGTACATACATACATTCCTAATTGTTTGTTGTTGGTTAAGGGTCTCATCACTAAAGGAAGGAAGAATCTTGATCCGACAGCGGTACCATTTGCTAAAGATCCTGGACAGATAGGGGAACTTAAAGATGGCGACTCTCTACTTGAAGTGGTAAGCTCAATATTAGTGCATGAGGGGCAACATGTATAATTGAAGTGATAAGTTGAATCTTTTTGTTCAACGATGAAAAGGTTGATGTTATGATACTCCTTTTTATAAGTACAATCTTTAACAAGTCATGGCTGTTCTTTACATATATAAGAACCTAATTGTCATGAATTTTATTCAGGTAAAGAAGGTCAAACCTGATGTGCTTCTTGGTTTGTCTGGAGTTGGCGGTGTGTTCGGTGAAGAGGTGGAAATTCCTATTTTTCTATATATCTCAATTACATATGACATTTATTTTGTTATTGGGGTGCAGTTTATGCTTATTTTTAAATTCTGATTACTGTTGACATTCTGCATTGTGTTGAGTTCCTCTCCGCTTTGTTGGCTCAAAAACAGGTGCTCAAGGCTATGCGTGAATCTGGTTCAAGTAGACCTGCTATATTTGCTATGTCAAATCCCACAATGAATGGTTTGTTTTCTCTGTCCTGCTCTTGCCATGCACTATGGTTTTCCTTTTAAAACTAGATATTTCGTCTTGACATCTGTTTGCGTTTAAACTGAACAGCTGAATGCACTGCTACTGAAGCTTTTAAGTATGCCGGAGAAAACATGATCTTTGCCAGTGGAAGTCCTTTTGAAGATGTCAAGCTCGGTATCCTCCATATCTTGTCTGAAAGATATAGCATCATACTTTTACAAGCCGTTTATGGCAATGTACAGCACGTGTTTGTGGGTTTTCTTTTCAGTTATGGCTATTATTACATTCTAATCATTTTAGTGTTGACAGGTAAGGGCAAAGTGGGTTATGTAAATCAAGCAAATAACATGTACCTGTTCCCAGGGTAGGTGTTATTTTCTGGTTCGCTGTCCTTTCGTTCGTTAACTGTATTTCGATCTTAACTTCGGTTTAACCATTGTTGATTTTAATCCAGGATTGGCTTGGGAGCTTTGGTCTCTGGTGCTCGTTTTATAACCGATGGAATGTTGCAAGCTGCTGCTGAACGGTATGAATGTGTTTATTATTATATAGTTGCTTCCCTTCTTGTTATGGAAGTTGTGAATGAAATGCTATCCTTTGCATTGCAGCCTTGCATCTTATATGACCGACGAAGAAATCCAAAAGGGCATATTGTTTCCATCTGTCAATAGGTAATATTTCTTTGGCTCTCCGGAGACTTTTCCGTGTTCAAAAGTGGTAAAAAGTCTACTTGTTTTTCTTTGTTCATACACCCAAAATAAACCATTACCGTTATATATATATATATTAGAAATCAAAGTTGAATCTTCAAGTTAAATTTGGTGATGTAAACAATAAGATAAAATTATATTTCTCTAGACTTGTAGATTATAATGTAATAAGTAATTTTTCTAGACTTGCAGATTATAATGTGATGTAGTTGATAAATGTATGTGTACATAAAAATGAAAAAGTTGTAAATTAAATTTGCTAAAAGTTTTTGCGAGATTGTAAAACCTAACATCTAACTAGTGTAATTATATGTATTTGATAAATGTATTGTGTGAAATATATATCATATGTTCACTTTACGGTTTTAACAATACATTGACGGTCGTATGGTATTACAGTATTCGAGATATCACAGCTGAGGTTGGAGCAGTTGTCGTCCGAGCTGCTGTTGAAGAGGAAGTGGCTGAAGGGTATTTACAAGTGGGTCCTAGAGATCTGGCCAGCATGTCAGAAGTATGCAATTTCTTTCTCCGTTACTTTTGTTCTAGTTAGACTAACAAAATCCTGAAATTAAAGATGATTATATATTCACGCTGGATGGATGGGTGCAGGAGGAGACGGTGAAATACGTACGTTCCCATATGTGGTACCCTAATTACAGCCCACTTGTTCAACAGAAGTAGTCTCTCTTTCCCTCACACAATTTTGATTTGAATTTGGGTCAATTTCTTCGGCCCCTGCTTCAGCGGCAGAATATAAATAAACCAGGCTTTATAATTTTTAATAAATTTACATTTTTTGGCATAATAACTTTAAATTATTTAGTGAGTTTTAAATATTTTGAAATTAATTACCCTTCGGATGAACTTGATTTTACCTGAAATCTATGGCCCAAATAAAACAAAAAACCATACTGCCGACTAAATTTGTTAACTATTGCGGTATATTAGTGTACATATATAAGATTTGTTAACTATAAGGGTATATTATACGGTTAGTTATTGAAAGTTGGTAACACATGTTATATAAGTGGTTAAAGTCTTAAAAGAATTTTGTTATCTTTAGAAATCTTAAGTTCGAGCATCAGAGACTATAAAGACAATGAATTTTTATTATTTAATGATTAAAAGGCATTTAAACATATATTATACCTTATAAATATTCTAGATTAATAAAAAAATATTGAATTTTAATATGTACATCAATTGTTATTGATTTAAAAAAGTTAATTTAACATTAATTTTTTTATTAAAATTTTGTTTTTAAATCGTTAAATTATTGATAACCAAATAATATTACAAGTTGATGGTGATGAGAAAACTAAGAATATTATTTTATTTCATCTCATATCTTTTTTATTAAAATTAGAATATTTTCATTCATTTTTAATTGTAGTTATAAATTATCATTCTTTCACATTTTTTGTAGCTGCCCTAAGCATCAATGAATTTGCATCACTTTTCTCAAACACTTTATCAATTTAATTTTTTTTCAAATTCTCTTTAAAACTCATAAAATTAAATACAAAAAAATATTTTGAGATTTAGGGACATTCTCGAATTTAAAATATATCTTAAAATTAATTTATCAAATGATAATAAAAATGATAAAAGCATTAAACATTGAACTTTAAATAAATTTTAATAATTTAAAGTGGATTTTGTAAAGAAAATAATCTAAAAAGGAAAAAAAAAAAGAGATATAAAATGTGAAATTTTAATACCAATTTTATCGCCAATGTCAATTAATGGCGTGCAATTATTAATTGAAAGAAATAACCGAAAAATTATATTTTTTATTAAAAAAAAAGAAAAAACCTATTACATAATTATTTTTAAATAATTTTATATATCATTGATAAATAAAAGACAAAAGAGTCTAATAATAATAAAATAACTACATAACTTAAAACTCAATGATTAATTGTTAACGTGACAATTTACCTAACTACCAACCATGTTTTTTTTTCTTTTCTAAACTTTTTGGTGCGCACTTAAAAATAAAGCCCAGAGTGAACTAACCCTTCAAGCTACAACTTCCATCATATCCATCATATTTCTTTGATACTACATGTAAATTTCTTAACCTCCATCAAAATCTTCCTCTCTGCCTTAGGTTTGCAGTCGTAACTGGAGCAAACAAGGGAATCGGTTTTGAGCTATGCAGGAACCTGGCTTCAATAGGGATAACTGTGGTTTTGACTTTTAGAGATGAAAAAAGGGGACTCGAAGCTTTTGCAAAACTCAAAGATTCCGGTTTATCTGATAATGTGGTTTTTCATCAACTTGATGTAACAGACCCTTCTAGTGTTGCCTCACTTGCAGATTATGTCGAATCGAAATTCGGAAAACTCGGTGCTTTGGATAACAATGCTGGCGTTTTTGGAGCTGTTCTGCACCAGCAAGCTCTTGCTGAAGCCATTCAACTTGCTGGTTACTTTGTAAGTAATTTAATCTGTTCGTACAAGTGTAGACATAAGATCTGATCTGGAATTGGGATAGTCATTAGTGGTTTGAGAAAAAACAGATAAATTGTAAAATCATTTATTTTATGATGAAATTTTTATCTGTGGTGAAGAACAAAAGATGAATTAGGAAGGATTACTCTTAAATCATGCAGCCAAGTGAAGAGCAAGCCAGTCAGTTTGAGATTGCAACTCAGACATCTGAGTTGGCAGAAGAATGCTTGGAAGCCAACTACTTGGTGCAAAAAGAATGGTTGAAGCATTTGTTCCTGTCCTCCAGTTATCCTCCTCCCCCAGGATTGTCAATGTTTCCCCTATTAGGGGGTTGTTGAAGGTACATGATATACACATTTGTTGGGGGGACTCCCTCCTCTTTCGGGAGAAATCCACGAAATTTTGTTCGTCGGGCAGATGGTCGAATCCTCCCTGTGCTAGGTTCACAGAGCCGAGAGTGCTTTGGATGGGGGTCTTGCAAAGACGTGAGCGTTTTGCACACTTTGTGCTTGAACACCCTACCTATGTAACATAGGCCACAATGCGGGTGTGTTACGGCTCCAATCCGAGTCTCTCCTGGCTCTGTGATCCCGCCACCGGCTCTCAGCATAGTATAGATTGCTGGGGTTCAGTCGACAGCTCTCTTTTTCATGTTGAATTGCAGCATGTGGGTGACAGCTATCTTTTCATTTGGACCCATAGTTGCCTAAGTATTAGTTGCTAAACAACTCTATAAGCTTTGAAAGAAGTTTTAATTTTTAATCATCTTCTGCCATGGTTGTGCAGAATGTATCCAATCAATGGGCCAAGAAAGTGATGAGTGATGCAGAAAATCTTACAGAAGAACAATTGGATGAAGTTTTAAAACAGTTTTTTGAAGATTTCAAAAAAGGACCACTGAAAGATCAAGGATGGCCTACTTATTTCTCAGCATACACACTCTCTAAAGCAGCAATGAATGCCTACACCAGGATTCTAGGAAAGAAGTACCCAAGTTTCCTAGTCAATTCCATTGGCCCAGGCTTTGTTAAAACCGATATAACTTGCACTTTTGGGGTCCTAACTGCAGCTGAAGGAGCTGAAAATGTTGCAAGACTAGCATTGCTGCCAAATAATGGCCCTTCAGGTCTTTTGTTCCTTAGAAAGGAAGTGTCATCATCCTTTTGATGAAAGATTTAGCTAATGAATGTATCAGCTTGTATCTCAAATTGAAATCATTTACAGACAGATTCTCAGTTTAAAGTGATCTTAAAACCAATGAATTAAGCTTCCATAAGATTATATTTTGTATTTTTCTTCAAGCTACTTGGTATCTATTTTTGCTGAGTTTTAGATCAGGTGTTCCAAATGCTATTCAGATTGTTGCTTTGTTAGTGAAGGAACAAATGAAAGGGTCTTCCTTGTTAGATATTATAATTTTAATAATAGAATTATTTTTTTAAAGATTGATGCATGTTTTCAAATCGGGGCAGAGATTACCATAGTACGCATACTTTGATTTGGTTTGGATGGTAGATGGATTATTTTATGATATAGTGGGATAACATAGGGTCATTAAAATCATTGTGCATGTCAGACATGAGCACCACTAACTCCATTAACTAAAGAAAGAAGAGGTCAAAAGCTTAAGGCCCAGGTTTTTCTCCACAATTTGTACATTAACCTGTCCCAAAATTTAAGCATCTCCAATCACCTGTGCGGCCAATTAACCAGCTCAACCCCCATCAGAATTCTCGCCATCCCTCGAACCCTCTTTTTTTATATATAATAAAAACCAAACCCAACACAGCTGTTCCGATCATCAGCTCTCGTTTTGTCAGAAACCACAAACCGGGGTGGTCGAGTTGCATCTTTTGTTCTTGCCCAACAGTTCCTCCGTTCCATCGACAAAACCGAAGCCACAAGCCAAGTTCTAACCCAAAAAAAAAAGACCAACAACAATGGCATTCACAGGAACTTTGGACAAGTGCAAGGCTTGTGACAAGACTGTCTACGCTGTGGAATTGATGACCCTTGAAGGTGCCCCTTACCATAAAACATGCTTCAAATGCACCCATTGCAAGGGCAAACTCGAGGTATGTTTCCATGTTTTGATTCTGCAAACTCGAACAACGATCCTCGATGAAATCGAAAAACGAGTTTAATAATTTGAATATGTTTATCTCTTTCCTTCATAGATGTCCACCTACTCCTCCATGGATGGAGTCCTGTATTGCAGGACTCATTTTGAACAACTATTTAAGGAATCTGGCAATTTCAGCAAGAATTTCCAATCAGGTACAATTTATATTTACTCTCACCCTTAAATTTTCTTAAAACTATTTACATTTTTGCTGCATGGTTAAGAATAACAACATTAATTCTCTTTGATTATAACCTTTTTACAGCGAAGAACGACAGGAAAGATGATCAGCCGAGGACTCCCAGCAAACTTTCATCCATGTTTTCCGGAACTATAGACAAATGCCGTGCTTGCGAGAAGACAGTGTATCCATTGGAAAAGGTCACAATGGAAGGGGAATTGTACCACAAGAATTGCTTCCGGTGCGCTCACGGCGGATGTCCATTGACCCACTCGTCGTACGCGTCGCTCGACGGCGTGCTGTACTGCAAGCACCACTTCGCACAGCTGTTCATGGTGAAAGGGAACTACACCCACGTCCTCGAGGCTGCCGCGCATAGGAGGAACAGCTCCGCCTCCTCTTCCACCGACTTCGCTGAAAACAACCGAGCTGATCAAGAATATGATGCGCCGGCCGATCAAGACGAAACCGAAGAGTAGTCGTGATACAAAGGAAGAAAAGGAAAGAAGACGATCGATTCTTTTTCTTTTTAATTCCCGCGCGCATGATGTTTTCTGCGCATGATTGGATGATATCAAAAAGTGAAATATTTTCCACCTCTTGTTTTTTAATTTCTCTCTGTACTTAAGTATAAACACCCTACTTTTTTATATTCAGATTCATCTAACTATTTCAATCAAATACTAGTAAAATATATAAAGATGCACCGACGTTTTACACTCACTCCCGACTCACCAACGTTTTCATGAGCCCCACTCCCTCCCGACTCACCAAGCACCTTCCCTCCTAACCTTCCTTCTTAACCCATCACTAAACATTGTACATGCCATTCGTTTATATAATTTAATTACTTCATTTTTAATCCCATTTTGAGGGGAATACGGAATACTTACAAGCCGTGTTATCTCTTAAAAATAGGTGGGTTATTTGTTGTTAGCGATATAATTAGGATAAAGATACCATACGCCCCTAAACTATGATCGCATGATCATTTAGTCACTAAACTTTCAAAAAAATTATAAACATTAATTAAATTTATTAAACTATTACAGAATAATCATTAAGCTCGTCAAATTTAATCATTATATTTTATCAAAATATTATATAACGGTCATTAGATTTATCAAATGTTATTATTATGTAATAATTTGATATTTTTAATGATCATTGTGTATTTTTTTATAGTTCAGTGGTCAAAATAATTATTTGATCATAGTTTAGAGACCTTCGGTGTACTTTATCCTGTACTTCATAAATATAAACATTTTCGAAAAAAATATCTGGATGCCCTGATTTAATTTTCTTGACAAACTCGGAAGCGACTAAGAATCAACCTCATGTCTCGTCTCTTCTACTAATTTCGTTCTAAAAACTAACATCTTTTTGTTTCCTTTAGCCACCAAAAATCAAACAATTAAGGAATCCCAAAACCCAAATCATTCGATTTCTTCTCCAGAAATCATTTCATTTTTCCTTGTTTTTGATAGATCTCTGAGATTTCACTCAAATTTGTGATCTAAGCCCCCCTTATTTTGATTCGGCTACCAAAGCGTAGCCTCTTTCTTGTGCTCTAGAACGACCCTCGGTTTTGCCACTATTTAAGGCGTTACCGCCTTTCTGAGAAGCCCTAGCTTTGCGGTTTGTTTGGCTAGTTGTGTATAGATTTCGGTTTATCTAGGTTTTCGAATCTGGTTTCTAGGAGATTAGGATTGTGATATGAATAGTAGAGGGAGGTATCCACCGGGGATCGGTGCTGGCCGTGGTGGCGGAGTGAACGCGAGCCCTAGCTTTCAGTCCAGGCCTTCGCAACAGCAGTACGTGCAGAGGAATTTGGTGCAGAATCACCAGCATTTTCAACAACAGCAGCAGCAGCAGCATCATCACCAGCAACAGCTGTGGCTCAGACGAAACCAATTGCCCGGCGGCAATGACTCTAATGTGGTCGACGAGGTCGAGAAGACCGTGCAATCCGAAGCCGTCGACTCTAGGTCCCTTTTCATTTATTCTCATCTTTTTTGTTATTTCGAGATACGAAAAATCTTTGTTTCTATTGTTTTGTTGCATTCTCTCTCAATAGAAGGCGATTTTACAGGTTTTTGAATATTGTAGTCATCTTATGCAATAGTTCTATGGTTTGATTTAGTACTGAACTTTCCATTTGTTTGGAAGGACTCGATTATTCAGAGAAAGGTTGCTTTTGTTGCTTTAGACTGTTAGTATTTTATTTAACTATGAGTTGGAATTTTCTCTTGCACATGATGTGGATGGTAACTTAATCTTTATTTGATTTTTCACAAATTGAGTTTTCTATGCTTAATTTTCCCTTTAATAAACGTATCAGGTTTGTTGTTTATGGTTTCACGGTTGTTTACATCTTTTATTACATCCTCTTTCAGCTCGCAAGATTGGAAGGCAAGGCTAAAGATGCCACCGCAAGATACACGCTACAAAACAGAGGTATTTATGTAAATGATATCTGTTCTGGTGTCGAATATTTACTTCCTTGTTAATGATACTGTACATTGTAGAATTATGATTCTAAAATTTCTTGAATGATTTTATGTATTTCACTTTGATCATCTTCATACCTTCATGAAATATTAAAAATTCTTCTCAGCTCCTTAGAATGATGAAGGAAAAATTGCTTTCTTATGCTTTCTTATGTTATTCTGGTGATACAAGTGGATTACTATTTTTTAATTCGTATTATAAATGTATAAATTTAGAAGTTTTTAACTTGGGGAACTGATAACTGGGGTTTTTTATGCTGTGGCCTTCTGTTAGTGCTGTTTAGGCTTGCAATTTCATCCTTTGTACCATATTCTCTTATTTTTGTGACATATATCTCATTACAAGGCATGATGGTAGTATGTTGGTGTTTATTGTTGTTTCAAATCATCTATTTACATGTTTATGAGCTTATCTGCCTATTAAATTGATTCCAGGATGTGACAGCTACCAAAGGAAATGAATTCGAGGACTATTTTCTAAAACGTGAACTACTTATGGGAATATATGAGAAGGGTTTTGAAAGGCCTTCTCCTATTCAAGAAGAGAGTATTCCTATTGCTTTAACTGGAAGTGATATTCTTGCTAGAGCCAAGAATGGAACTGGGAAGACAGCGGCATTTTGCATTCCTACCTTGGAAAAAATTGACCAAGATAACAATGTTATTCAAGGTTTGATCTCCATCTACCTTTTTTCCCCAGTCTTTTTGTGTGTACAATGCCACACTTGAGTTCTGATTTTTCATTATCCGTTCAGTTGTTTTTTACTGAATATCTGTTTTTTGCATAGCTGTCATACTTGTTCCAACAAGAGAACTGGCTCTTCAGACATCACAAGTCTGCAAAGAGCTTGGGAAGCATTTACAAATTCAAGTCATGGTCACAACTGGAGGTACCAGTCTCAAGGATGATATCATGAGACTGTATCAACCTGTCCACTTGCTGGTTGGAACTCCTGGGAGAATTCTGGACCTTGCTAAAAAAGGTGTTTGCATTTTGAAAGATTGTTCAATGCTTATCATGGATGAGGTAATAATTTGGTAGTTTCTCTGCATGTTTTCTTTCAGTTCGATTTTCTTTTTGCATTTTATCTGATTTTGTGTGTTTTGGTTTCTTTCAGGCAGATAAACTTCTGTCTCCGGAGTTTCAACCATCTATAGAGCAGTTGATACAATTTCTTCCAGCGAATCGTCAAATTTTGATGTTTTCAGCTACATTTCCTGTTACTGTCAAGGACTTTAAAGACAGATACCTTAAAAAGCCTTATATTATTAATCTAATGGATGAGCTTACTCTGAAGGGTATTACTCAATATTATGCCTTTGTGGAAGAAAGACAGAAAGTTCATTGCCTAAATACTCTTTTCTCTAAGGTTTGATGTTATAAAAAGCTTTATCTATTTTTCTCTCTTTACCTTTGTTTGGATGAGTTGTGATATTTATTTATCTCCAGCTGCAAATAAACCAATCAATCATTTTCTGCAACTCGGTAAATCGGGTGGAGTTGTTGGCCAAGAAAATTACAGAACTTGGCTACTCTTGCTTTTATATCCATGCAAAAATGCTTCAGGACCATCGTAACAGAGTATTTCATGATTTCCGCAATGGTGCATGCAGGAACCTTGTTTGTACTGGTATGTTATGCTGTGCTGTGTATTTTTGGGATATGAGCTAATCTTGTCTGCTGTTTGATTCTTTAACAAGTAAATCCATGGTTTAAGCTGATAGTTTGAAGTACTTTCTTTTACTGTTTTGGTAGAAAATAACTAATTTGAACCCAATGTTTCTGGCTTTAATTTTAATTTTATTTTGAGCAACATACCTCACGTGCCTTATAATCAATTCCTGATGCATGTGCTGAATAGGATTTTACTCTTCATAAGCATTCTGTGATAGTCGTCTTGAAGAATAATCTCCTAACATTGTATTTGTACTTTCTGCAGATCTTTTTACGAGGGGTATAGATATCCAAGCTGTTAACGTTGTTATTAACTTTGACTTCCCCAAGAACTCAGAAACATACCTTCATAGAGTATGTTGGTTAAGATATTTTATCTCTTGCGCGGTGCAATGTTCATATCATTCTTTTTGGTAATCCTCACGGATATTCTTTTAATGGGCAGGTTGGTCGATCGGGAAGGTTTGGTCATCTTGGATTGGCTGTGAATTTGATCACTTATGAGGACCGCTTTAACTTGTATGTTACCATACCCAACTTATCCATGGTACTATATACATCGAGGTTCTCCTGGTTTATTGAAATTTTGTGTGGTCCTTTGTAACAGGTATAGGATTGAACAAGAACTTGGAACTGAAATTAAGCAAATACCTCCACACATTGATCAGGCAATTTACTGCCGATGATTAATGGTAGATGTTTCCTGTTCAGCCTATGATGGTAATCGACGGTGAGCAACCACACGTGTCTAGTTTTAGATTACATCCACCAAAAGATCTCTTTGCTTGTTGTACCTGTGCAATTTATATGCTACAATGGTTTGCATTGTTTATTAGGGTTAATGAAGGTGGTCAGTCAAGGTGTTTGCCCTGGCAGATGGATGCCATGTTAAGTGTTGGTAGAAGACTGTTATTGCTACTGTATGTGCATGTAATCTTCTATCGATTCCTCGAATTCCTGTTTTCGATTTAGTTTAACATATGTTTGGTACTGTTATGGTAGTCTCATCATATGGTGGAAAGGATGTAGCTTTGTGCAAGGAACTTATGTGTTGTTTTATGTTGGTGCAGTTGCTCACCTTTGTCGTATGGATAAATAAAAGGCATCTATCTGACATTTAAAAATAAATGACTTGGCTTGCCTTTTTTTTCTCTCTCATTCCCATTTTCAATTTGTTTTGAGACATTGCTAGTTTCCACTTTCCTACTTTCATTCGGGTGTTCTTGTTTCTAGCAAGACCTAGAATGTGCTTATAAAGCGAGTAAATTGCATCACATGCTCCCACTCCATGTCCCTCCTTCAAAATTAATTTTTAAACTTTTTAATATTTCAATTTCATCTTCAAAATTATCGATGTATGTTAATCATGTATCTTGTAAAATAAATTTCAAACAATTATGTAATAATATAGTGTGATATAAATGATAATTAATGTTGTACAATGTTTTTGAAATCATTAACAAGAATGAATTTGAAAGGCTATTTGATTTTTGTTTTATTTAATATGTTATAATTCTCTGTGTTTTAAAGATAAATTGTTATTTTATTAATTTTAATATTAATTATTGTTTGTCATATAGTATTATTATATAATATATATCAGTTTGTATATGACAATTAATGATTTTGTTAACACAGAATATGATTAACATATAATGATAGTTTATTAATAGACTGAATGGTGGTTTAGGAATAAAACTAGAATGTTAAAAATTTTAGGGATCAATTTAGAATAAAGATCATGGTTTGAGATGAAATTAAAATGTTTTTAAGATTCATTTAGAATGAGTTTTATAATTTTTAAATAAAACTTTAGAAAATAATTTAAAATGAAAACAATAATTTAGAAACAGTTGTAATTAACTATTATAAAATTTAATTTTTGATTAGGGTGCGGTGTAATTAACTCCTACAAATTTTAGGGTAAAGTATACATGTGGTCCCTTAACTATATATGGTGTTGATTTGTTAAGTATTTCGACCATCAAAAGTTATATAGTGGCCCTTTAATTATATGATGTTGCTTTGTTGAGTCACTCGACTATTAAAAGTTACAAATGGTCACTTAGCTATTCATTATGTTCTAAATTTGTCATTTTTCATTAAAAAATTAACAACAATCTGAGTTGGATGTTAATCTGTTGTTTGAGATATGATAAAATTTGATCTTAGGATCTCAAACGGCTATCATATCTCAGACAATAAATTAACATCCAACTCATATTGTTGTTATTTTTTTAATGAAAAATGACAAATTTAAAACATAATGAATAGTCGGTTGATTATTTTATAACTTTTAATAGTTGGGAAACTCAACAAAGCAACACCTTATAATTAGGCCTGTAAACGAATTGAACATTTAGCGAATTGCTCGTGAATTATTTGGCGGGAAGTTCATTTATTATTAAACGAACGAACATGAAAAAAATTTTATGTTCGTTTAATTAAATGAATGAACACGAACAAAGGACTCGTTTGTTCATTATGTTCGTGAACGTTCGATTATTTGTTCATTTATGTTCGTTCGTTTATATTAGCCCAATCTCCAAACTCGTTTGAAATATTAAGACCTAATAAATTTTAACCTTAAACCCATTAATATTTTAAAACTCAATTAATTTTAAACCCAAATAAAAATACTCAAATCAATTAAATAAAATATAAATCCTAAAATTATTTGGAAAGAAAAAAACTCTTCTTGAAACGTCCTAATCTACTACAATCTAAAGACCGACAGATTAGTGCGTTACACGAAACCACTGAAGTGGTTAACCAAAAAATTCCTTTTTAAACAATTATAAATATCACGTGCAAATCATCTATCAAAGTCAAAAAATGATAAAATAATAGTTTTTGAGTTTACAGATAGGGAGCCCCAAAATATAGCCAAACAAATTTCAAAGATTGTTTCAAAATACAGTTATGACTCGAATACCAAAGGTCCATATACAATACATGTCCTCTAAAAATATATTCAAGACGTACTAAAAAGATGATGTGGTCTAGAAGGCGGGCTGCGCGATAAGCTCTTTAAACGCTCTTCCTAAGAACCTGTACATGGAAACAAATTTTGAACGCTGAGCTCACAAGCTCAGTGTCAGACTAATAACCAAACTATATTATATACATCCATTCGATGATCATGCTTGCAACATTAACATTCGCATATGAAAATGCAAATCTATACATACATATAAAGGTGGGCAACATGGTATGGTCGGAGGGTTTCGTTACATCTTAGAGACACACACCCCTCTAGCCTACCTAGGGTGAGATCCGAAATTTATACATCGAAATAGTTCACCCAACCAACCTACTCCATACGAGTACTTGGGGGCATCTATGCCCAGTCGATAAAGAAATTCCTTGTGCAGTAATTGAGATTTGTCTGGACATTCTACCACGCAAATGTTTACCTAGCTTCTAGAGTAACCAGGGTATCCTGATTGTTCCCCGAGCATTATACAAGTTAGTTTTATGATTTCCTAATTCATATCGTTTCTAGATGAAATTATAATCATTAGTGTTGTTCTGAAATGAAATCTTATTTATGGAGTTTAGATGGCCTTGAATCCCTAAACTAACCTACTTGAGATGAGAAAGGTTTCTTACCCTACTCTGGACGAGGGTATCAGTACCGACCTTATAGTATCGATACTCTTATATGGGGTATCGATACTTTTATATAAGGGTATCGATACTACCCCGAGTAACGATACCAAAAATGACTTAGATGTTTGAAAAAATAACTAAGTATCGATACTCTTATTTAGGGTATGATACCCTCGCCATGGTATTGATATGCCCTTGAGTATCAGTATCAAAATTGGATATTGGAATCCAAAATCTAAAAACGGTATCGATACTACCCTGTGAGTATCGAAACCTGACCCATAGTATCAATACTCTATGGATGAGTATCGATACTTACCCTTTCAAAACTCCCTTATTTCAAGCTAACTAATAAACAATATCGGTACTGTTCTTCTAGTATCGATACTTGAACCCAAAAATGTCATGTTTTGGCACAAAGATACAATCTAACTCTACCCATTTTCCCCTTTAAGGCCATTAGTAGATGTTTAAGTCTTTTTAGGTGTATAGAGGTCATAAGAAGTCATTTTTTATACTTAAAAACGCTTCAACTAGAATCTACCATGAACATGCTCAAGAATATCATAAACTAGTGTTAGCTAAGCAAATGCACTTAATGACCCACAAATGGTATAAGAAGGTTAGAAATGTGTTATTTTAGCCTTTAAGCTGATGAAAACGTCCACAAATTAACCAAGAGATAACTTCTCCTTATCCTTGGTTTTGGAACCTTTTCCAATCTCCCTTACTAGCATAACATGGGAAATGAGTTACTAACTTGTTTATGAGACTAAAATGAGGTTAAGAACACTTTCATGAACTTAAATCTACCAAAAACGAGTTAGAATTCTCTATTTCCCTAAACCCCCACCTATGGTCATTATGATCAAACTATGAGATTATGAGCTTAAATGAAAGCTTGAGGTGAGAGGATTATGATTCTTACCTTGAAATTTTTGAAATGAGCTTGTAGGGTTATCAAGTTTTCACTTTTATACTTTTCTTGGGCAAAGAGAATAATGGAAATGAAGGGGAAGAAGATAGGGAACAAGGAATGATGAAAATTGGGTGAATAGAGAGAGTGGTTCAGTCACTTACATCATCCCTAATTAAAATAAATCAACTTTTGGAATAAAAATGACCTAATATCCCTTTTGATCCTTCCTCTTCCACTCAATTAATAAAAATACCACCTTTTCCTATCATTTGGGCCTAACCCAAGCTCAATTCCATCCTTAACTTGGTCCAAGCTATTCTATAAGTCTAGTGGGCTTAATTAACTCCCCTCGGGTTAGCCCAGAACTACTAACTCGGGATTTGGGGTGTTACACTTCTCAAATATAAATCTAATTAATTTTGTGTTCGTTCGTTTGTGTTCGTTTATCATTTCAACGAACGAACAAGAACGAATACGAACAAGCTAAATTTTGGAATGAACGAACACGAACAAGAAATTTCGTTCGTTTGGTCAGTTAAAGTTAAATGAAAAAACATGAACATACCCTCGTTCGTGTTCGTTCGATTTGTTTACAGGCCTACCTATAGTCAAGGGACCATTTCGTAACTTTTAATAGCCGAGAGACTCGACAAAATAATATTATATAGTCGGGGATCATTTGTGTATTTTATCCTAAAATTTAATTTGTGATTAGGGTGTGGTGCTACTAAGTGCACGGTTTGTGAGTGAAGACATTAATGTACAGCAGAAATAGATATGTAATAATCAAAAGAAAGTAGTACATCATCTGTGATGTAGAATTCTCGTTTCTCAGTAAGTGTTACGTTTCCATAATAGAATGACCCAGAAGTCTTGAAGCCACCAACTTCCAAACACCAAACCAAACGTCCTTTTCAGTTTGGCCACTGACCACTGTTTTTAGTCTATCCTTTGGACTTACCACATTTATTATACTTGATCAATTGAATGAAAAATACTTTACCTTCCCATTCCTTTTTTCAGTGTTAACTTCCGCGTTAAGGTTTAGTTTCTATCAATTTTAAAAATTGAATTCTAAATTTAAATATTTATTATAAAAATGTTATTATTATTTCAAAATAGTTTCATTAATATTATTTATGATAAAAATATTATGAATTACAACTACAAGTAAGCTCTTGATACAAAACCAATACAACCGACAATCGTTTTCTTGCACGGAAATGAAAAACGTTGCATTCCATATATGCTTCAATCGGTTCCGTGACCCACATGAAAAACGGAAGATTAAATCTTCGTAATGTTTAAACATAAAACAAACATAGAAACCGACAACAACTATACAGATGAAAACGGGAAGGCACAATTACAAGAAAAGTGGGCAAACCAGCTAAAACTTACACTTGATTCATCAGACTTCAGAAACACCCCAGGAGCTTTTTAGGAGTTTGTCCGGTGGCACGGTATTTCGCCGCCATTTCCTCCGCCTTGAGAGCTTCTTCTCCACGTTTAGCTTCAACCAATGCCCTCTTTTCTTCTGCTTCCTTGTGGATTGAAGCCACCTTGTTCTTCATTTTCTCTGCATACTCTGCTTTCTTCTTTTCCAATTGTTCCTTCCGATATTCGCAACACGTTAGAATTACACCCGAATGATAAATGATCCCCCCAAGCATATCCAAAGAGCTGATCTAGAGCGAAAACTCTAGACTCTAATTCCACATTTTCCATGTTACCACGTAGTGTAACATAGCATTGAAAGTAAATAACATTGAACGGCCAGTATGGATGGAAAAATAAGCAAAATAGTAGGGCCAGTTACCTCAATTTTTTTCAGTTCAGCTTCCAGAGCTGCTTTCCTGCTGTTCTCCCATGCTACAATAGCAGAGTGCTTTTTCTGGGACCTGCTCACCAGTTTTATGTTGATAAATTATTTAACAGTTAAAACTCCTCTAGAAGATCATGGAAATTGAAAGAGGCTATTTGGCCTTACTTATTCTCTGCTTTGGCCTTTTCACTATCTTCCCATGCCTTGATGAATGACAACCTTTTTGCCTTTTCAACCTCTGCAAGGGCAACATCTGAAGAATAGAACAAGTTATAGATAAGCATCCTCCTTTTAGCTGTATGTGATGATAATAAAGCGGTGGTATCTAAGAACTATTTTGAACACTTACCTCTATCATGTGATCCTCCTGAAATTTTCTTTGGTTCAGGCTCCGGAGCCTCTGTCAAGATGAAAATAACGTTAGAACCACCAGAAGAGTGACGAGCAATGATTAATGACGAGTGTGTAAAGTTAAAAGTTGTGACACAAGATACTTCAACGTATTAGCATGTCTAGATTAACCTTAATACATAAACAAATATAGCAAATGGGCTTTTTAAGTACATTGAAAAAATCCAGTATGAAAAAACTTACTCAAAAACTAAACACGGAATTAAGGATTGCTCGGAATTTCTATCAATGCAGAAAGAATTTAAAACTATAATTCTTCATCAAGAATAATAATACTATATGGTTCAGGTTTCTTTTTCAATTTTGAAAGCTAGATAATAAGAAAAGGTATAGCAACAGTAGAAATTATGTTCTCAAAGCAACTTTAACCTTTCACCTGAAGATTATGAAAAAAAAGGCAGCATAATCAAGTTAGTAGATGCCCATGATGACAATGGAGGGGCCATGTTTACAAAAAACATATTGTTAAACTGATCAGGAGAGCACCTTGCCAGCCAAATCATATATTCTACTAGAATACTAAAACGTGTTATCACACCAGTGTAAAGATGTGTTTCACATTTGATAAACCCAATTACAACAGAAAAATTAGATTCGAGGCAGCAAATATTTTTGATGATCTGAGAAAAGTAAATGAATAATATGGCTCGAAAAAGAAAACTTCACTTTTCTAAAATTTCTCAAAATATGTTTAGAGATAAATATAAAACTATAGATGTATGATCTTTTGAATATATAAAAAAATTAATTAAACATTCACTTTTCGAAACTGAGTCATTTCTAGGGTTGAAACTGTGCAGCAAAACAATCATTGGTTATTTCATAAATGGTAAGCAAAAGAGAGACAGAAAACTCACACACAGAGAAATCTGAAAAAGAAAATTTCATAAATGTTAAAAGTAAGGATGTATGTCAAACTCTGTTTTCCAGATCAGCTGGTACTAGTAAGAGATTTTAATACTATGTTTAACTAAAAAAATATGGGAACTCGAAATCTAATATTTTATTGTACGAAATGATCATGTTTAATTTTAACTTACACAAAATTTTAAAAGAAAAGATTACTTCACCCAGAAAATAAAATAAATTCATCTTCAATGGGGGGGGGGAAACACTCTAAATAAAATAGATTACCGAAAAAGAAACAAAAATTTATGGACTAGTGTTGATTTCCGGCATAATTAAGCAACCAAATGAAGCTCTAAAAAAACATATGAATTTCATGATCTGAATGTTGAAAGATGAAACTACATATAAAAACAAACACGATGAGGTGATCGCCAAGCTTACTCTCAACTACTGCCAGAGCTTTCGATTCTTCAGGTTTCTCAACTAGCGCAAGACCTTTCGATTCTGCAGGTTTCTCCTCCGTTGACGGTGGAGACACGGTTTTTTCTTCAGATTCAGCTTTTGGAGTCTCCACTGCCGGCGGTGGAGCCGCCGTGGTTTCAGCTTCAGCCTGCTTCTTCACCTCCTCGGCCATAATTTAGAATGATCGGTGTTTGTGAAAAAACAAACGAAAATTTCGTTAGAAATTAAGTGATAACCATGCTCTTAAAATTCCCGAATAATATTATATATTAGCAACGTTCGCTTAAATCAAACTATAAATCCACTCTGGACTTCTTAATTCTTATCTCATACGCTGAGTTCACGCGTAAACCCTGTTGTTTTTTCTTATATAAAATCTTTTTTATTGGTTGATCCAACGGTCAGTATTCTTTCCATTATGCGGACAGGTAAAACGGTTAAACGTGTGCCACGTATGTCTACTAACAGAAAACGACGACGTAGAGCAGTTAATTCCAGAGCATAGTGGCACGTGCTTGTTTTGTCTGTGAGAAAATATTTGTAGTAAACTTTTCTAATTTTACGAGTAATCTAACGTCTTTTATTATTTAATATATTAATTTATTGGCAAAATTATAATTTAATTATTTTTATTGTAATAATTTAAATTTTAAATATATATAATTTAATTAATTAAATGTTAATGAAACAAGAATAATATATGTTTAAAATGTTTTTTAATCATTGATAATATATATATTCTATTTATATAATTTGGATAATTCCATTTCATTACCCAAAGAAAGCAGGAGAACCTGCTACAAGAGACTGAGAGTCACATAAACAGCAAATAACACAACTAAAGACAACAAAGAAACAAGAAAAGAAAACCCAGCAGCTAGCTCAGATGCTCCAGTTAGAACAGAGGGCAGCATTCCTCCGATCAACTCTGTTAATAGACCAGCCGTTGATTCGGATACGAATGGAATCACAGATGTCGTTTAGCACTTCACCCACTGGTCTAGCTCTACCCCTAAATAGTATGTTATTTCTCTCCCTCCAGATGTTGTATACATGGCCATCAAGTGCCAACTTCAGCAAAAGAACAATGAGAGTTTTACCCTTGAGAAACTGAGAAGCCTAGGTCAACTCTCTGTCCCAAGTACTCACGCGGCGAATGATCCCACATAATGACAGAACATTTCCTCACAGATCCCTAGTAAAACCGCATCCAAAAAATAGATGGTTACGAGTCTCAGGCTCAGTGCCACAGAATAAGCAATTGGCATTATCAATATTCAGTCCCATACGAATAAGTCTCGACCGAGTGGGAAGCCTATCAAGAACCGCCATCCACAAAATAGTGTTATGCTTAGGTATAAGACCTGGGAACCAAACTAGTTTGTGCCAAGTAACCATAGGCCCCTGCAAACGTAAGTTCTCCCATACACTCCTAGTACTGAGGTTGCTACCAGGGCCAACAAATAAATGAGAGACAACATGCCTCAGTTTGAGAATTTTCCTAAAGCACCAGCTGGCATTTTAGGGAATACTCATCTGCCAAAAATCCAGGCTTTTAATCACATACGCATGGATCCATGCCACCCACAGGGAGCCCTCATTGGCCAGCAACTTCTTGATAAGGAGCACCATGCAGGCTTTATTCCAGCCCCCTAAGTCAAGAATGCCTAGCCCCCCTTCAGACTTCATCAGACATATTTATCTCCAATTAACCCGAGCACCATTTGCAGACAAATCAGCCCCTATCCAAAAGAAACGAGAGTAGAGCTGCTCAACTCTCTTGATAATGGCTTGAGGGAGGATCATTTGCCTGCACCACAAGTTGGCCATACTGAACAAAACATAACGTATGAGCTATAGCCTTCCAGCAAAACTTAGGTGCCTATTAGCCCATGAATTCAATTTAGCTCTGATCTTATCTACCAGGCATTGACAGTCCTTGACTGAAATCTTCCTAGTCACCAAAGGGACTCCAAGGTATCTAACTGGGAGAACACCTAGTTTAAAACCAGTAACCTCACGAATGAGAGCACACAGTTCAGCAGGCACACCAGCAGTAAACATTTCACACTTGCTAGAATTAAGCTTCAACCCCGATAGCAAATAAATTGTATCTAAGACAGGCTGAACACCCATAACAGAGTCAATAGTACCCTTGCAAAATATGAGGAGATCATCAACAAAGCAAAGATGGGTTAAATTTATCTTTCTGTATTTAGGATGGAAATGGAAAATCCCCTTCAAAGCAGCTGTGTTCAGTAGTTTGGATAAAACACTCATAGCCAGGACAAAGAGGTATGGTGAGAGGGGTCCCCTTGCCTAACCCCTCTAGCACCCTTAAAGTAACCAACAAGGCTCCGATTAAGCACAATATAAAAGTAAGGGTTGGTGAAACAAGCACAGATCCAATCTATGAATTTAACAGGCAATCCCAAAGCATGAAGAATGACAATAACAAACTCTCAGCTAAGTGAATCAAAGGCCTTTTGAAGGTCAATTTTTAGTGCACACCGTGGGGAATTATTCTTTCCAGCATACCCCCTAACAATCTCCTGAGCAAAGAGTGTATTATCGACTATACTTCTCCCTTTGACAAATGCAGTCTGATTGTTTGTTATCATTCCAGGAAAAACAGCAGACATTCTGTTAACTAGGATTCTAGTAATTGTTTTATAGATCACAGAACAACATGAAATGGGCCTGAAGTCCTTGACTGAGTTTGGTTGGGGATCTTAGGTACAAGGACAATAGCAGTTGCATTAAAAGATGGCAGAACAAAAGAAGTTTCAAAACAATACCTGATAACAACTTTAAAATCCTCACCAACAATTGACCAAGCTTTCTTGAAAAAGCAAGGATTGTATCCATCTGGTCCAGGGGATTTGTCATTCCCTTGACCCCATAAAGCCTCCTTTATCTCCTCATCAAAAACTGCTCTACACAAGGAGTCAACAACTCCCATAGGTAATGAGTACCCAAGTAGGTCCCTCATGGTGTTAACATTGTAACCCTTAACATTAGGGTCAATCTTCCCAAGCTAGCTTTTAAAGAAGTCAATTACCTCACTAGACAAGTCTTCAAAAGATTACAGTCTTCTACCATTCTGATCAAAGAGCACTCTGATGGTATTGCTCTTTCTCCTACTGCAACCATTGAGTGAAAAAAATGAGTGCCCTGATCCCCCTCCTTAATCCAGTTGGTTTTAGCCTTCTGCTTATAGAAAAGCAGTTCTGCTTCCTCGAGGATTTTCAGCTCTCTTTCAACTTCACATTTCGAATTAGCATAGATACCAGCAGTACCAGAATTCAAGTTTGTCAACTGAATTTTAGACAGCTCCTCACATTTTTGCATTACCCGACTCGAAATATCATTGAAGTAAAATTTATTAAGATCCTTGAGACCACATTTGAGTTTCTTAAGCTTTAAAAACAAAACTTGAGTTGGATTATCATCTATTGGGGTCTGCCAAGAGTCTTTCACAGTTTGCAGAAACCTCGGATGCAAGGCCCAAAAGTTGAAAAACTTAAACGACTTAGGCCTAGCAGTAGGAGCATGTTTATGTAACCAGACAAAGGCAGGGAAATGATCCAAATCACCCGGAGCCAGGAATTCCACCTCAGAGTCTGTAAAAGATTCATACCAGCCAGAGGTAGTGAGCACTCGATCCAGCTTACGGGCTAGGAAGCTGTCATGTTGCTTGTTGGACCACGTGAACAAGGGGTCAATGTAAGAATGATCAGAAAGTCCCAGCCCCTCAACACAATTTTGAAACTCGGAAATGTCACTCATCAAGGTAGCACTGACAGGGGCTGAACTTTCCTCAAGATTAAGAATGACATTAAAATCGCCTTCTATCAGCCAGGGGTCACTGCCCACAGAATTCTCCATTAAACAAAGTTGATTCCATAGCTGCCTTCTAAGAACACCATCGTTCGAACCATATATGGCTGAAATGTAAAGAACCTTACCCCCAACAATAGCTCGAATTGAAACACATTGATCAAATATCGAATAGACAGTACAATTCAAGCTTTTCAACCAAAGGACCCAAATACGACCATTGACAGCCTGATTGTAATTGCAGCACGAGTCCCAATCACCAAAACTCTGCTTAAGAATAGTATTTGTTTTATCCTCTTTTACTCTCGTCTCTAAAAGACACAAAACACCAATCTAAAAACTAGTAGCCCAATGCAAAACTTTGTTCTGCTTAAGGGGATTATTAAAGCCCCTTATGTTCTAGAAGCAAATCAACATAAAGCATGGGATGAGGAAGAAGCACCACCACTTTCTTCCAGTTTTTTAACATTACTAACATGTTCCTTTTTCTTAAGTTTCAAGTCCTGAAAAATTTTATCAACACCAAGGGAGACAATTCTCTGCTTCCTTCCAGAGTCCACCAATAAGCTTTCAGGGTCAATGAAAGAGAGCACTTCGAACTTATTCCTTTTTTTGATTTTCTTGATTCTGTTGTTCTTGCTGGTCTTCTTCTTAGGGTTTTCTTGGGCTATGTCTGGTGACTCGTCCACGGATTGGAGGAAGTTGTTTGCGGCAGGAAATGAACAAGAACTGTATTTCTTCCCCCCGGCGGAGGTTAAAGGTTCTTTCGTTGTGAAACCCCCGCGTCATGTGTTTGAAGAAGGGATTCAGGATTGTAAGTTTGCTTTGGTCGGGCAATTTGTTGGAGCTACTCCGAATTTCGGTTATTTGCATAAAATTGTTGAGCAGATGTGGGGTAAGGCTGCTCCAGTTAAGGTTAGTTTGGCTGGACTGAATTTGTTTTTTTTTTCTATTTATATAATTGTCTGAATATAAGATTTAAAAAAAATTAATATTAAAATTATTCAATCATTTTGGTTGGCCATTTTCCCAACAACGTCGACGAATTGCATTTTGAGTTTAGCATATTACTAATCTGTATAATTAATATAATTTATGCATAATATTAAAATTACACTAAAATTTTAATTTTGTTTCATTATATAAAAAAGTATTCAATTTTTATATATATTAAAATCATTGATTTAATATGTTTATATATTGTATAAATAAATAACTATAATTATTAATTATAAAAATAAATAGATATATGTGTTCAATTGGTCAATTTTGGTTAACCAGTCGAATCGAACTATCAAAAAATTGTTAATCGAATAAAGTTCGGTTAATCAGCCAATTAACTTAATTAACCAAAATTTATAAATATTATATATTATATATTTAATATTTCGGTTAATTCGGTTAAAACCGAAGTTTAAACACTCCTAAGCCTAAATATATTAAATATTAAAAATTTGATTAATTTGTTTAATTCGATTAATTAATCGATTTCAAATCGAATTAACTGATAATCAAAGTTTAAAAATTTCTTAATCATTAACCAACCGAACAATAAATTAACTAACCGATTAATCAAAAAAAACTTCAGTTCAATCGATTAAAACATAACTTTGAACAAGCCCAGATATATCTATCATTTAAAAGGGATATAATTAAATTAAAACAAAAAATTATCTATACAAACACACCAAATCAAAATTTGTGTATCAAATTATAGCTACGATTGAAATTCCTATATAACATTAATAATTATTTTAAAATATAAATAATAAAGTTTAAATTTTAATAGTGGAATTGAAGTTGTGTCTTAGTAGATGAAAGGTGAGGCTGCCTCAGCTAAAAGTCCCATGACCTAATCGTGTATTTAGGCCTAATTTGCATGACCGCTTCTTAAACTGTTGGCCCAAGTGGAATGGGGTGGGGGTAGCCTTTTATCCTAACCAGGTTTTCTAATTTTTTAAAGGGTAAACTATTGGAATGGTCACTTACCTTTTATTTTGTACATTTTTGCTCATCAAATTAAAAATATTAAATTTTACACTTATATTATCATTTTATTAAGTTTTGATCAATGAAACGTTAAATTCTGTTAAGTTCTCCCCGAAAATAACCAGTTTTTTTTTGTATTTTGGAAAAATTGAGGTTTTTCAAAAATAAAAGTTTTTATGTTATTTAAAAAATAAAATTTAAAGGTTATCAAATTGTAACATGTGTCACTTAACAGACTTTTTTAACGATTGTTAGAATTGTAACGTTATACACCTGAATGAATTAAAAAAATAATTTAAACACGTATTAATAAAAAAAAACTATATATTTAACCAAGTAATATATATGAGATGTAAGTTAAAATTTTATTTCAATAAAAATATAGATGAATGCATTTCAGACTCTCCAATCCAAGCTACTTATTTGACTTGTCAGTAACTCTCCTCTCCACAAGTTTTCCACATGTACCAAATAATTAATCTTTTTCATTCTATTATCCATGTCTGTTGACGAAATCGGGTAAAGAAAACAAAAGAACACGAGAATTTTACGAGGTTCGACAATGTGCTTACGTCCTCGGTGCCTAGGCGGCGTTAGAAGTTTTTATTCAATGATATTTTAGGTCTAGGTTACATCTCTATTTATAATAGAAAACCCTGGTACATAATTACAAAATTAACCCTGTACCGTACCGCGGGGGCTACGCCCCCGCACCCCCAACCCACATAATTCATAACCCCACAACGAGACTTTCTTTGTAAAGACAGTTGATGTTCGCTTCGCTCACTCCGCTCCATCTCCTGTCCTCTTTACTGGTATATTTATGAGCCATACTTAACAATGTCTAACCACCACTCAAGTTAATTTTTTTATTCTTATTTTCATATATTTTTAGGATTTTTATGTAAATATGAAAGTAAATAATCATTTAAAATTATGAATGATACGATAGAAGAGGTTAATAAAATAATTTTTCATTAAAGAACTGAGAAAATGGTTCCAAGACAATACAGAGTTATTCTCTAAAGAATCTGTTACCAATTCATTCATCTTTATCTCCCTGTAGAGAAGTAAAGAGCATATAGACTTTAACAACAACAAAAAATTGAGGCCCGAATTTCTTTCCTCAAAGCTCGTCGTCGTCGTTGACTTATGTATTGACCCGAAACACCACCTTTCCTTTCTACCAGCTCAAGAACACTGCTGCAATTTCTAAAAAGAACTCGTCTTGAAGCCCTGGTTTTCTGCGTGACCTCGTGAATATAGCTTCCATGGCGGAGCAAGGTAAAAGTGGCGATGAAGTAATTCAAGGTTGCTTTTCAGAGGTTGGGCTTGGACGCTTCATGGGTTTCGTGACAACGACGACTACCTTCATATTCTTCTTCTTCCTCGTTGTTATTGCAGCCCTGTTTTTGATGGGTTTTGTGAGTCATAATTCTTTCTTTTATGAATTAATTTTTGAAGAGAAAAAACGATTTTTTATTACAATAACAAATTACTTGTTTATCAGCCAATCATACGGGGGAATCCATTTAGTTTTACTGCCTCTGAAATTCCTCACGAGAGGATTCCATTTCCTCTTGCCTGCTCCGATTCAGTTAACTACACGCCGGCGTTTATTTCCGAAGAATCACCGGCCAAAACTTGCCCGGACTACTTCCGTTGGATCCACCAAGATTTAAAGCCATGGAAAGCATCTTGAATTACAAAAGACATGATCGAGAGGGGAGTACCGAGCGCCGCTTTCCGGCTCGTGATCGCCAACGGAACAGCTTATGTTGATCGATGCCGACCGTCGTACCAAACCAGAGATTTATTCACTTTAAGGGGCATTCTGCTGCTTCTAAGGTTGTACCCTGGAAAAGTACCGGACTTGGACCTTTTGTTCTTTTTTGGAGACAATACTGTGATCATGAAAAGAGACTACAAAGGACTGTTTGCTAAACCATCGCCGCCGCCGCCGCCGGTGTTTCATTATTGTGGAGAGAAGGCGGCGCTGGACATTATATTCCCTGACTGGACCTTCTGGGGATGGTAAAAGAAGAAAACCCAAATGCTTACTTCTACTGCAAGTATCTAGTTAATCATGTCTGGGAAACGATGATTCCTGAAATTCACAGAGCGTCTTCTTCTCCCTACCTTTAGTTGATTGGTTAAAATCTAATCTTTTTTCATAACTCTGCTTTTGACAGGCCTGAATTTCACTGGAGACATTGTTTCGGTATTTTGATTTGGGGGCTATGGAAGCAAAGAAATTACTTCATCTTCCAAGGACAAGTCCGATCCAAGCAAGAGATCATCAGAGCGACGCTATCGTGGGCAAGGCTCATTCGCCATAGCTCGCCCTCTCTTCACAACAGGCCTACGATCCGGCAAACCAACCAAAAATGGAAGCGTCCAACTCATGGGGTGTTGAAAATTAATACGGACGGTGCGGTCATGCCAGTTTCTAGCTCTGCAGATGGAGGCGGGGTTATTTGTAACAAGGAAGGCAAGTGGATTTTGGGTTTTAACGTCGGTCGATGTTCAATCCTTCATGCCGAGCTTTGGGCGATTATGGATGGCCTATCTCTAGCGTGGGATAGCGGTTCTAGGAATATCAAGCTTGAAACCGATAATGTTGTGGTCAAATCCCTTAATGAACCGGCCAATTCGTACGACCCTTCGATTATTCATCGGATCAGGGAACTCTTGGAGCGACTGTAACCCCTCATACCGATACAGTGATCCGATCCGATTCAGGGTGTCACATTAGGACCATTGGAACGACCCACTATAAAATCTCAGAAAAATAAAATTTATATTAAAACATGTAAAATCATAAAATCATTTATAATTACACAAGTAAAATTTACCAATATTCATAAATAAAACAAATTTTAGACTCATATGCAAAATAAATTACAACCTACATGTCTCCTAATCACATGCACTGTACTCCGCAAGCAATGCCGGTGGAACTTCCCTACTGAAGTCAATAGATACACTGGTACAATTCTTTTAACCTGAAATGGTGAGTAACATAGTGAACTTTGGAAAGCTCAGTAATACAATACTACCAGTTGATGCTACAAGACATTCAGATAAATGTAGAACAATAAGATTCCTTATTGAATCAGACGTATACACGTTTTCAGAATAAGCTAGAGTTCCCCTGGTAGTTCATCGAGTAGAAGCTATATAGATCTCAGTTCATAAGAAACATTTATATTATCAAGTTTTCAGGATATCGAATAGGATATCTAGTGTGTTCCAATCAAAACCAGTGAAAAAATATAAATCTTTTAAAACCATAGTGGAACCCTCTAACCAAACTCCACTATGTAGTTCCCCATAACTGCATCCATAAGGACTTACCCTAAGTACACAACAAAGGGGACCAACCTAAGAGAATGTCTTGGGGCCTAAAGGCCTACCCAAAGGTATCCTCAGGTCTGTAAGGATTTACCAGCTGGATCAGGGTTGTACCTCCATACTCCAGAATCCTGCCCATATAAAAATCTAGTAAAAATCAATTTTAACTGTAAATCGTAATATCTGGATCGTGATCCAGTAATATGTCATAACCATGATAATGAAATAAATCATATAGCTGATCTCCACCTGTACACAATAAGTAGTCCCATGATTAACCCAAGTGAGTGCTTTGGGGCCTGAGAGCCTACCCAATGATCATCTTAGGTCCGTAAGGATTTACCAGCTTGATAAGAGCTTTACCTCTATACTCAGTCTACCCATATAATATCCCAATAAAACAGTTCGAGTATAACTCGTGAAAACAGGAAACCATAGTTCATAAACCACTAAATTCCATGATTCCATAAATTAGGAACAATTCATATCTTTCAGTGAAAACATGTAACCAGAGAACATATACCATGTAGTCATAGTTCATACGCCAATAAATCATTAAATAAGTGATTTCAGAAAATCACGTTTTAAAACAAGTAAAACATTTACATGTCACATAAGGAACACACTAGAGGATCCCGATATTTTTATGAGTTACTTGGTGATCAGGAAGGTATTCATAATCTTTTCGTATCATAGTTACTTAACATTTCAAGTATGACATGAGTGATTCCATTACTCAACAATCAGAGGTATTCAAGATTATGAATTGAACTATCAGGATTTTAAGTCCAATTGAACCAAATGAGGTATTCATGATCCTTTGCATCTGAGTTATTTGTGTGATCAGATATGAACAAAGTGATTTGAGTTGGTAAGGAAGAAACGAATATTTAGGACATTTTCAAACTGTGCCGATCTACCGGATTATCGAATAACTCGAGCTAACAACTCTCAAAACTAATGCATGTTGACTGATCAATTCATTGCCCTTCCAGAGTATTCAATCTTTAATACCAATAATTCTTGACCGTTGATCATCTTCAGAAATCACCGAGTAATAGATCTTAAGGAGACGAACGTATATTCCAATTGTCTTTATTTCATTTCTATATTACAGCAATATCAGGAATTATCGATGTACTATAATTCGTGGTTAATAACCCATAAGGACAATACATGATGTAAGTTCATCAGTGTTTCCAAACTTATTCAAGTCACTCACTTAGTCCTAAGTCATTTAAGGTTACTTAGGTCATTTAGTAGTCATGTCTATCCCAGTCACTTTAGAGTTTTTTTTTCCAGAGTAATTCAAACGTTTCTGAATTTGGATACATATCGTACTTCCTTTCAGTTCAATTTGGTCATATAATAAAGTTATTTTGGTAATCGAGGTTGATTTATTCATTTCAGAGTTAAGGGTATTAGTCATTTTAAGTCTTGGAAATACTTTAAGTCATTTTACACTTTAAGGGCATTTTGGTCATTTACACTTTATGGTATTTCTATAAATCTAATATAGATCCGAAATTTATTTCGATAATTCCAAAGTTCAAGTAAATCAAGATATGCAATCTTAGGTTGTCTCTATTATCATAGCCATCCATTATGCTTAACACTTAAGCGTATCATCCTCATTTCCTTCAAATCTGTTAGTGACATAATTTTTGATAAACCAAGCTTGAATGCATTATAGTTCCTTTAGTGTTTAGGGTATCTTGCTCCTTTGATCATTATAGTTATTACGAAGCTCAAGGACATTTAAGTAATTACTTTCAATTCGATCATATTCAATTTTACTGATAATTAGTCAAGTTTATCCTTTCAGAGTTATTCTTCGCCATCCGGAGAAGTCTTGTTCTTTTTCCATTACAATGTCATTTTCATAATTTTATCCCCTTTTTCTCTTTTCGGTAACTTCATATCTAGTTAATCCCAGTATTTAACCTTTTAAGAGAATTTATCAAACTTCATAGATCTTGAAATCGATTCATTTATTATTGGATCATTGAAGTTATAATTTTTTCGATTGATCTTCTAATTTCTCTTTATCGGGTTGTCTGAGTCTTATACCGTTTTCTGTCCTTATTCAAATTTTACGTCTGAGTCCACTGATAATTAAATACATCTAATGTATCAATCAATTATGTTCATGCAATTACCATTCATCAATTAGTATGAGAAACATACAAAAGGCAATAGAGTATTACCTCGATTTCCATGCCATATCGATCGACCATTTAAACTCCATTCGATTGCCCTCAAATTTGAATTCAACGTCCAATAATTCCTCGGATACAAAGCAATCGAATTTACGTCAGAAACTAAACTTAATTTAGAAACCAACTTGAATCCGAAGATAAGCATTAAAAAATGGCTTACCAGGTGCGAATTTGGCAAAACAAACTTCGGATTCAAATTCAGGACGTCAAAAAACATAAAATAGGTCTTTTCGGAAATTTTGACTTTTTCGGTCAAAGTCAACGGTCTGACCGCTCAACGGTCAACTCTGACCAAAGTCAACGGATCAGGCAGGCGGGTCGGGTTGGGTTAGACGGGTCGGGAAGACGGTTAACTCGGTTCGGTTCAAATAGGGTTGATTGGTTCAAGTCGGTCCAGACCTACTGGATCGATTATGGAGACTTCTTTGGAGCGTGGACAAGCCCCACGCGCACCCGACGACGCGTGAGGGCGCGTGAGTCGGCGAGAAGATGGTTGGTCAGCGACCGATTACTCCCTAGCTCATCAAGCATCGATTGCAACCATCAATTTCAACTTAAAAACAAAATCAACCCAACCAAATAACCTAAAATAGAACCGATCTTACCCAACTATGATCAGTGAAAGAAACGGCGACGATACGGTGACTCACTGGCTGGGTTTGGAGCGCACGACGACGGTGAACCCAATGTTACCGGTGGT